TCGAAATACGTTAAATCTGCTAAGTATAATATTATATCCATACTAATATTATAAATGTGAAAGTTTGTGAGGATGGATGGATGTTTGTTACTCTTTCAAGCCAGAACGGCTGAACGGATCTAGATAAAATTTGGCACAGAGATAGATTTTAATCTAGAATATACATGGGTTATTTTTTATCCTGGAAAAATGTACGGTTCCCGTGGGATAGTTTTTTTGTCTAGGGATGAACACGAAGCAAATTGAAGGTCAGTCGCTAATTAGAAATATGTTTACATTTTACATAAATATATTTCTCAGATCTCAATTAAAAGTGCAATGAATTTAACATTCATCTTAAAATTTTAACAGATTTTTTTATAGACGACTGCTAATTAAAAGCTGTTGATTCTAACTAGAGATATTAGTGGTTCTGAAAAAATACTCCTACACAGTGACTATGGAAAGTTTTTTTTTGTGTTTCTATAATACTCTTATTAAAAAATCACTAAGCAACTTTACACGAAGCCAAACAATAATCTTTTAAAACACTAAACAAATATTAATAGAATACTCATTACTGTGATAATTTAATAAATATTTAATAAATACCTTTGTTCTTTAAAAAAAGTACCAATCTGTATGGCAAAATCGGGAATAGTGGCACAAACAGCAAATCACGCTACTATATTTGACTTTGACATTTATATAATAGTCTAATCTGAGTGATTTGATTCATGTCTCTCAGTTTTCATTCACAAAAATTTCTTTGTATCGTTTCAAATGAATAATTTGTTCCTTTGAAATTTTATTGTATAAGTAAAAAAATTTTGCAATATTTTTTGGATAAACGAATATCGAAAATATTAAACATAAATTAGGTTTTCAATTTTTTGGGCATTTCATGGACAAAAATGGGCATTACCACTTAAAATTAAGTTGAGAATTTGATAAGATAACGAAGGAACATGCTCAAATTTATTAAATAACTAGCAGAACCCGCGGTTTCGCTCGCGCTAAAACTACAAAAAAACCTTCAAAAAGTAGGTTTCATACAAACTTTGACGCCCTACTTTACCCTCTTATAAAATGAATTTCGAAAAATGCTAAAACACGTATTTGTTTAATTGTATTGAAGAGAATTAATACCAAGTTTCAAGTAATTCTGATCATAAATATTTTTTTGGGTTGTATTATAACGTGTTTCCCGTGGGAATGAGATAATCTCCCGCGGTAAAAAGTATTGTTGTATCTCTATCCTATGTTTCTCTTTAGCCCCGTAACTATCTTCTTACAAAGAATCACGCTAATCTGTCATTCTGTTTTGACGTGAAAGAAGGACAAACAAACAAACAAATAAACAAACACAATTTCACATTTATAATATTAGTATGTATGACAAAAGACAGAGTGATTCGGTGCCACTGTCGCGGTTCTTGCATCACGTTCATTTCTACTTCGCACGTGGAAGTTGTGGAACGATCCTTTCCCTGAGGTTTTTTCCCTGAGCGTTATAATATCGGGTTCTTCAAGAGTTATCTTCAGGTCCCTTAAAGGATAGCAACGCATTCACTACATCTCTTATGTTGCAGATATCTACGAGCGACGATAGCCATTTACCATTAAGTGGATCGTTTGCTCGTTTGCGCCTTTTACTATAAAAAATCTATAAACCGCTCTAATAAAAAAAGTATACATATATAAATATTACATATGATAAGGTATTCATATATAATACAATTTTTACGAACATAATATGTTCTTCAGCAATTTTTGCTTTCGTTTTGCAAATTTTTTGACAAATAGAGCAATAACTTTTAAATTAAGTACCAATGTTGATATAAATTATGCTCAAAGGAAGCCAACCTAAGCCTTTTTATGGCCAACGATATAATATACTCTTCTGTGACCATGATCGCCGTTAAGTATTCGAAACGTCGGGAATGAAAAATCAAATTAAAATCCACAAAAAAAAATACCAAAAAGGTTTATTTAAAATTATTACCTTTATTCGTTATTGATATAAAGTTATAAATATTCGAATATACATATTTTTTATAATTTGACGACCCTACTTGCTGTGCCAGCGGTCGCAGGTTCGAGTCCCGCTGGGGGAATTCATTTGTGTGATAAGCAAGAATGTTTGTACTCCAGTAAAGGGTTTATATTTATAATATGTATGTATTTAAAGCTTTATATGTGTAGTGTATCGAATATCTGGTATCCGTAACACATCCCTCGTAACTTGCCATGGAACTAGATAGTGTTGTGCGTTAATGTGCTAACATATTTATTATTTTAATTTTGATTTTTTTTATATGTCTCTCTTAAAGTTGTTTAAGATATTATTACTTGTTTAGACGTTAAAGCTAAAAAAATATACGAAGATAATGCTTTTTCATACACTTTGATCGTAATCGCTCAAATTGTATCGCAGCAATTATACGTAACGTGTATAACCTCCATAATAGATGAAAGTAAATAACAAGTAGATATTATCAGTAAATATAAAAGGATGGTAAAATGGAATTTTTTTGGCTTAAGTTACAAGTGTTCTTTGGTAAAATGCGTTTTCCAAAAGCTTTTAGGAAGACAATTTTAGCCCAGTCGAATTAGGTTTTGATACTACAAAAATTTTTAACGGCCATTTTCCTTCGGAATTCTTTGGTGGGGGTCACTGGAAGTCTACATTCAGATTCTCGGGGTACGAGACCCGTTGCGTCATACGCCATCTTGAATTTAAGGGTTGATTTTTGTTTTTTGAATAACACGTTTATTTTAAATTTTAGATGAAAAATAGTTATTACAAAAGTTATTTGAAATTAAATTTCTTACAATTTTGGTTTTTATCATTTTTTTCCTAGGATCGATATTTTTCGATTTATACCCGAAAAGAGGGGGTGAATTTTAGTTTATTGAACAACTCGTTTATTTTCAATTTTACGAGAAAAGTTGTGATAAGCAAAGTTGTTAAAAATTAAATTTCCTACAATTTTGGTTCTTATCAATTTTTTTGTATAATCGATATTTTTCGATTTATACCTGAGAAAAGGAGGGGGTAAAATCTTATCATTGTATTATCAGGGTTATTTTCAATTTCACGCGAAAAATTGTTATAAGCGAAGTTATTTAAAATGAATTTTCCTACAATTTTGGTTTTTATCAATTTTTTCGTAGGATCGATATTTTTAAATTTATATTCGAAAATAGGTAAAAAATTTTCGTTCCCCCAAAGAATTCCAAAGGAAAATTGCCGTTAATTTTTTTTGCAAACAGCCCCTTTTTGGAGCTCAATCGACTGGGCTATTTTTATTTTTTGTACGTTTTTCCAGAATAACATCTGTAACGTCTTAAGCTTTTTTTAGTACTCTGATGAAAATCCCACTTAAATCGGTTTTATAGTTTATTCAGAGGTTTATAATTTGTTTAAATAAAAAAAGTCACGTAAGATGGGAAATAAATTAATCAATTTTTTAATTAAAATACATATATAAAAAAATATATTTTAAAAGTAATTGAATACCAAATTCAAAACCTATTATAGTATACTCGCGAATTACCCTTAATTATCTCGGATGTGTTTATAATTTTATATACTGGAACTCAGAAGCGCAACATTTTGATAACTTTAATTACTAAAAGGTAGCCTACGTATTACTTCAGGCTATAATCTATTTGTCAATATCTACTGCCTCGGTGGTTTACAGCTGCACATCTGGAGGTTCAGCGTTCGAGTCCCGGGTCGGGTCAAATTTAGTTTGAGTCTTTCTGTTTAGTAAGCCTCAGTAACAGCCCGGAGTTGGGAAGTTGGTGGTGTTTCACCCCCGTGCCTCGGAAGGCATGTAAAGCCGTCGGTCCTGCGCCTTAACTCTCACTGGTCGTGTCGAGTGTTGTCCCACCAGAATATAAGAGTAACAGGAGTAAAGAGTGCACTTGTGTCTGCGCGTACACTTGTGCACTACAATATTTCCGTGCAGATGGCTAGTTTCAATGAGATTGGCCACCGTAGCCGAAATCAGTCGGGAGGATATTATTATAGTCTATCTATATTCTAAATTTCATCCAAATAAATCCAGCTGTTTAAACGTGAAGGAATGACAAACATACACACAAACTTTGCGTTTTTATAATAGCATCATGCGACTTGTATACATACAGAATAAACTTATAGTTTTATTTTTTGTATACTTATCTATGAAAGATTTAAGTTACACTATCCATGTTTTCCGCAATCCCACGGGATAGGCAAAAGGAAAGGAATATATTTGTTTGTCTATATCCAATGTCATCTCTTATAAATGTTGGAAACAAATCTCTAAATATTGTGGCTTGTATTTCAGTTGTTATATTTTGAGTTTTGTAGAGCAACGTAATAGAACGAATTTCTGAACGAAAATCTGATTGAAAAAGACATTATTATCGATACAGAGGCCGAATGTATAGTTTTTAGAATTTTTGTCTGTCTGTTACCGCATCACGGAAAAACCACTGGAGAGATTTTGATGAAATTTGGTATGGTGATAGCTGGTTATCCGGGTCAACATATAGGATACTTTTTTTTCTCGTTTTCGAGAAAAAATACAAAAACTGCATTGTGAGAGTATACTAATATGTAAAACCTAAGAATTTGGTTTTTGGTCATCTGAACGCAGGCGGAGCCGCGGGCAATGCTGATGATGATGATTATGATTTCATTACTTTACTGAACTTATTTATTATGATTTTTACTTTTTTGATCTTGATACGACTTATTTATATTCATTTAATGACATACTTCAGGAATTAATGATGTTTTGTTTTTAATGTAATGCATGATGTGATAACCTGTAAAAAACTATACATATATCTTTGATTTGTAAATGTAACCACGAATGTATTAAATATTAATAGAACTTTTGTTGGTTATCTTAATAAAATAAATGAAATAAAAAATTAATGATTTTAATGTAATGATGGATGAAAATAATGCAATTTTTTTTAAATGTAGCAGTTCTCAGAATAATTTCTTTTTATACTAAATAATGCTATGGAGCGGTCTACCACTCCTGTTCAGGTTTGATCATTTTTTGATGACACGCTCGCTTGGGAGATGTGGTTTTAATCCAAGGTAACCTCTGATATTTTTATTTGCAAATTATTATTAATATGATTACCACTTGTTTTACGGTGAAGGCAAATATCGTGACGAAACCTACATGTTTGTAAGAACCTAGCAAGTTTTCAAAAGATATACATATGAAGTCCACCAACTCGCACTAGGATAGTATGGTGGACTATAGCCTGATTTCTCAGCGTTGAGATGTCTGAAAGAATGGAAGGGAAGAAAAAAATCTTTAAGGACAGACCACTCTAACTTTATAAATGTAAAAATTGATAATTTAAATAAATTATATTTAGATTTAAGTTTGAGCGTGTAATAATATGCTGTAAGAACAACTTGTTTCGTTGAATTTAATCAAACATTCGACAACAATAGCTGTGATTCAAAGTAAGTCTGTTAGCAGCAGAACAATAGAAAGCCTGCGTCGTTATTTAACTTCATCCAATTTTGATTCTACGACCGAAATCTGTCACAAATAACATATTATTATAATTATAAACAAAAAATATATTTTTACGCCATTGTTTTCTATTAGATTGGAAAAAAATAATCAAATGAGACCAAATTCCAACATCTTTCTAGTACCCATCATGGTGTTCAACTATCCATTTCCAAGCCCCACCACATCAGCTAGATACAAATTTTCAGCTTGCAGAGATGGAGATAGAGATTACACAGAAATACATTTATATAAGCTGTACGCGGGTAGAGCCGCGGACAGAAAGAAGTAGAAGAATCGAGCTAATTATGTTAGATTTATCTATAGAAATATATAAAATTGAAGTTTTTTACTTAATGCATATGAAATTATATACAGTACAGTTATATAAGAAAAAAAAAAATAATTTTTAAATTTTTTGTCTGTCTGTCTGTTTATTCCGAATAATCTCCGAAACGGACTGATTTTGACGGGACTTTCACTGATATATAGCTGATTTTATATGGAATAACTTAGGCTGCTTTTATTTTAGAATTAGATTTCCGCTCGGTTTTCCGGTTTGCGGACGCACCCAAGCAAAGCGTGGCTAAGTCACTAGTATTATATTAAGAATCTTCTTTTTTTAATGGCGGTTAAAACATTACACTTCTAAAACAATATAAGTAAGCTTGGATACAAAAAGTTTATTTCAGAAAGAGGTTTTTTTGTTAGTTTTGAATACAAAAACCGTTCAACGTTCAAGCTTTTAACATAACTGTACTCATTTTCATGAAAAACAAAATGTTAGATTTCTAAACATACAATATAGTAATGGTATGTATTTCCATACAATAAATATTTTGCCGAAAGAAAATGAATAAAACAACGTTTTGAACGAAGTAGTATTCCATTTTTATATACTTTCTAAGATTTAGGCGAATATTTTAATTGATCTGATTGGGATGAAACTCTGGTGCCTGCAAAAGTTCCTGGCCCAAAAAAAGAACTTTCTTTGGACTGTCTTTGTGTCTTACTGTCTGTGAATTTTATGCATTCCTAAGTCATTCACGTTTAGAGACGCGCTCGAGCGAAGCCAGGCTGAGTCGCTAGTCTATACTAATATTATAAAGAGGTAAAGTTAGTGAGTTTGTGACGTTAGACGAGGTAATATCTGGATCTACTGGACCGATTTAAATAAAATTTGGTAATAAGATAGTTTGACACCCTGGTAAGGACATAGAATACTTTTTATCCCGGAAATAATCCTTTAAGGGGGTGAAAATGGGGATGAAAGTTTGTATGGGGAATCGACCTAGTTATAAATAACATCTTTACGGATTTGTTCTAGGAGTTATTTTGATTTTTGATTCTCGACGTTTCGAATGATTTTGATCATTGTCACATTAGAGACAAAAATCCGAAAAAAAAAACGATAAGATAGTTTAGTGCAAAATTAATTTTCTAATATTAGTAAGACAAATCATACAAAATAACTTTAAAAATAATCATTACGTCGACTCTTGAGGGATTGAAATTTTTCCATAAAATATGGCTTCGGAATAAAACCTTTCGTTTATTGCGGAGCGAATTCAATAAAAAAAGAATTCTGAAAATCGCTTTCCAATTGGTAAAGATATTGCGTAACGGCCATTTGTTTCTATAAATATGTGAAAATTTTTATATTTGTCTGTTTCAATAAACATACACTTTAAATAACTAATTAGATTATTATTATCTTTATTTCTAGTATATATTTAGTATATTTTCTTTGCACTATATTGCCCGCTGACATCTTCCACATCCAGGGGTTGACTGGAAGAGATCTCTTTTAGAGATAAATCCAGTCCACCTTTGTTAACTATGTATATTTTTGTAATTTTTTCTGTATCTTATTTTAAGTGCAATAAAGAATCAAATAGATTTCAATGGAACTTTTCATTGTAAAGTTAATGCATTCGGACTTTCCGATACTCAAAAACACTACACTTATATGTGTTTATATCCCTATTTTGCCTGCCTCAGTAGTCTAGAGCCTAGATGTAGCTGCAGATCCAGTGGTCCTGGGTACGAGTCCCGGGTCAAGTTAATGAGTTTTTCTGTCAAAAATTGTTAGTAAAAGCCCGGGGTAGGGAAGTTGGCTGTGTTTCACCCCCGTGTCTCGGAGAGCACGCAAAGCTGTTGGTCCTACGCCATAACTCTAGCTGGTCGGAGCCGTCGGACTTTTATAGTAAAAAGAAAGAAATGAATAGATAAAGAATGCACTTGGGGCGATAACACTCAAGTACTACAATATATTCTATGCAGTTAGCTAGTTTTATTGAAATTGGCCGTCATGGCCGAATACGGTTAGGAAAAGGACATTTATATCTTCTTACCTTTATATATAAAATTCCAGTGTGTGTCGTTTTGCAATTCATCTTCTTCTATATGGACTGACCAATTTTGATGCTTATTGCGTACTAATGGGGTACACTTATTAGATAGTTCTTAGCTATAGATGGACTTGGTAGGTGGTGTTGATAGAGATCGAAATGTTATTTTAAATACCATATATAATTAATCCAAACTTACTAATATTATAAATGCGAAAGTAACTTTTTTATCTGTCTGTCTGTTACCTTTTCACGATTAATCCGCTGAACCGAGATCAATGAAATTTGGTATGGAGATAGTTTGAGACCCTGATATATATTGGCATGTTCTTCATATGATAGTTTCTATCCCGGAAATCATCCCTTAAGGAAGTGAATATGAGGGTGAAAGTTTGTCTGGAAAGTATGTATTATTTATAATCAATCATTTCTCATGTAAAGGATATTTTTTTTAAAGTATTACCTACTTTTCTATATTAACCGTCAATTAAATATATATGTATAGGTATTTATTTATTTATCTATTTATTACACACATTAGTATAAAAGACAAAAGTGATTGACTGATGTATTAACGCACAGGCTAAACCCTTAAGGCTAGAAAATTTAAATTACGCACACGTATTCCTCATGTGACGAAAGCAACCACTAAGGAAAGATTTTTCAAAATTCAACCCCCAAGGGGGTGAAATAGAGGTTAAAAGTTTGTATGAAACTTTTTCTTCCTTGGACATATTTGCATGAAATTTCGTATGAATTGAGTACGGCAAAAATAATGGGTTACATATATCAGCGTTTTCTAAAACTCAACCCCCAAGAGCGTAAAATAGGGGATGAAAGTTTTGATGAAACCCAGTTTTAAGAGTTTTGTTGTAGTTTTAGTGCGAGCGAATCCGTGAGTTCTGCTAGTTAATAAATATTAAAGTTAACTATAAGACAAATAGAAGATCAAAATGTCACACGTTTCCTAAAATATTAGCACAACCATGTAAAATGTAACAATAGTTCTAGCCTATTATCTACCCCTTACACGAAGTGCACATAAAAGCTGATCTGACAATAAAAGCTAAAACTAAATCACAAACTTGTCCTATCTTTTACAGCCAAGTTTAGAATTACATCCCCATTTAGAGATCGTAAAAGGTGGTTTGTAGTTTTTACTATATAAAAGTTAACTATCCATATCATGCCAACACTATATTTATATTTGGACGTTTGGCTCAGTTTGTAGTGACCCTACTTGTTGTACCCAGAATCGCGGGTTCGAATCCCGCTGGGGGCATTCGTTTGTGTGATAAACATAAATGTTTGTACTCCAGTCATGGGTATTATATTTATATTATGTATGTATTTAAAGTTATGTATGTGTAGTGTATCAATTATCTGGTATCCATAACACAAGCCTCGGAGCTTACCATGGAACTAGATGGTGCTGTGTGTTAATGTCCCAAAATATTATATTAATAAAAATTTGCTTCAGAATGGTATGTTTTGTGGTGGTTTTGATCCTTTCGGCAACCCTTCTCTCATATACATACATAATATATCTACCACTTCTTAGTAACATGTATAGTCAGCCGTATATCCATACTAATATTATAAATGTGAATGTTTGTTTGTCCTTCTTTCACGTCGAACAGAGTGATGGATTGCCGTGATTTTTTGTGTGAAGATAGTTTGAGGGCTGGAGAGTGACATAGGCTTTTTACTGAGGAATATTATTATTTTTTCCCACGGAAAAACACGTATTAATACAACTTAAAAAAAATATTTTTGTAGCTTTAGCGCGAGCGAAGCCGAGGGTTCTGCTAGTAGTTAAATTTAAATAACTTATTTTAGTTTAAGCAAAATCCTGAAAACGCCGTACATAACTATATTAGCTGTACGCTCATATTCCTTGTGGGAAGCTGCTCACGTATGCGTCGTTTGCAAATTATTGGCATACAAAAGGGTGTTTGAGTAACTATTATTCAAATGTTTTACTAGACTTTACCCGTGGTTACGTTTGCGTAATATTAGATGATTTTATATATATAATCATAATATCAAACATGCAGGTTTCCTCACGATGTTTTCCTTTCACTGATGATGATTGATGGATTCACACATGAAAATATCAGAGATGCGAGACCCGGGATTTGAACCCGCTTCACTCGATTTGCCAAGCGAGCGCGTTACCAGTGGACTACCACTGCCTGTTTTAAAAACATACACATTATAAATACAAATACCCATGACTGGAGTACAAAAATTCGTGCTCATCACACAAATGAATGCCCACAATGGGACTCGAACTCGCAACCGCTGTGCCGCAAGCAGGGTCACTACAAACTGAAAAAAACGTGTCGTTTAACTTTATCTAGTTTCCAATAATTATTAATTTATACAATGTTTTCAGTTCGAGAGCTGACTAACGAACTTGTCTCTCGACAACGCAATCCACCATTCATATTAAAACTAACGACTCACCCCCGCTCCGCTCGAATTCGTAACTAGTTACGTTTTAACATTTAGTATAGATTTCTCAAAGATGAGATATTTTACCGCAGTAAAAAGTATCTTATATGTTGACCCGGATACCTAGCTATAATCATACCAAATTTCATCAAAATCTGGCCTGTGATTTTCTCGTGATGTGTTCCCAGACAAACAGACAGACAGAACGACAAAAATTCTAAAAACTATAGATTCGGCATCTGTATCAATAATAATGAATATTTCAATAAGAATTTCCAAAAAAATATTTAATGTACATTTTTTGAACGGCTCAGTTAGAATTTTATTATTATGTATAGACTAGCTGACCCGACAGACGTTGTCCTGTCTACACGTCTTTAATTTGAAAATTTCAAACTTTTTTTAATAATTTTTTTGATGAACATTATTATTCAAATTGTGAATCTAAACCATTCCCAGATCCCCTTAAACACACGAAAAA